GAGGACAGACAAATCGGAAAAAGAAAGAAAGAAAAATATATTGAGAAGAGGACAGACAAATCGGAAAAAGAAAGAAAGAAAGAAAAATATATTGAGAAGAGGACAGACAAATCGGAAAAAGACTGAAAGAAAGAAAGAAAGAAAGAAAGAATGAAAGAAAGAAAGAAAAATATATTGAGAAAAGGACAGTCAAATCGGAAAAAGAAAGAAAGAAAGAGAGAAAAATATATTGAGAAGAGGACAGACAAATCGGAAAAAGAAAGAAAGAAAGAAAGAAAGAAAAATATATTGAGAAGAGGACAGACAAATCGGAAAAAGAAAGAAAGAAAGAAAGAAAGAAAGAAAAAAAAATATATTGAGAAGAGGACAGACAAATCGGAAAAAAAAGAAAGAAAGAAAAATATATTGAGAAGAGGACAGACAAATCGGAAAAAGAAAGAAAGAAAGAAAGAAAAATATATTGAGAAGAGGACAGACAAATCGGAAAAAGAAAGAAAGAAAGAAAGAAAGAAAGAAAGAAAGAAAAATATATTGAGAAAAGGACAGACAAATCGGAAAAAGAAAGAAAGAAAAATATATTGAGAAGAGGACAGACAAATCGGAAAAAGAAAGAAAGAAAGAAAGAAAGAAAAATATATTGAGAAGAGGACAGACAAATCGGAAAAAGAAAGAAAGAAAGAAAGAAAGAAAAATATATTGAGAAGAGGACAGACAAATCGGAAAAAGAAAGAAAGAAAAATATATTGAGAAGAGGACAGACAAATCGGAAAAAGAAAGAAAGAAAGAAAGAAAGAAAGAAAGAAAGAAAGAAAAATATATTGAGAAAAGGACAGACAAATCGGAAAAAGAAAGAAAGAAAGAGAGAAAAATATATTGAGAAGAGGACAGACAAATCGGAAAAAGAAAGAAAGATAGAAAGAAAGAAATAAAAATAAATTGAGAAGAGTACAGACAAATCGGAAAAAGAATGAAAGAAAGAAAGAAAGAAATCCATTTTCTCAACGTCAGAGTGGCGACCGCATTTTGCGTAAAGTTTATTGGTTGCAGTCGCGGAAACATTTAGAATTCTTACGAAAGAATAGGTAATTAAAGTTCTTACAACTTTTTGATGATGCAAAACAAGTTTAATAAGTATAACTATATAAAAGAAGAAGAGGTGATATGTTGACAATTACTATCAAAAGAAAAATTCAAAATTCGACGTGTTTCGCGTTGGTCATTTCATTTGAAACTCCTTAAATGTCTATTTCTAAAATAAAATAAAAACATTCCCATAACTCTAGATACATACACAAAAGTCCCCACATTCAGTTAAAAATGAAAATAAAAACATTCTTAATAATGGTTAAAAGAATAGCAGAAGAAACTTGAATATATAGAACATTCGGACAATTTTTGCACACTTTATGTCTATAAACTAAAACACTTATACGAACAAGAAAAATTCAATAAAAAGATTAATAGCAGTACTATCGTTTTTAATGAAACTTGTACAATTATATATATATATATATATATATATATATATATATATATATATATTTGTGTGTGATCGTCGATTATAGGTGCTGTTTTTGTATGAATGATTCATGTAATTATAAGTTGAACAGCACCTATAATCGAAATTAAAATAACTGATCCAACGTGCAACTTTCGGATAATAAGTGTGCCATTCCTGTAATTATTGAACAATATAGTTCATACCATATTGACGGAAAATCTACCAGTACAAAAGAATTCTCTTATTGCTATATTTGTACAAAAACGCACAACCTTAAAATTTAAAATTCAAACTCAGCGTTGCGACCGCATGTTCCAAAACAATAACACATTTCTCATAGCATTCTTTTCGGATTACATCTCTATTTTCGTTGTCCTCTTATTACCGAGAAGTAAAAACAAGAACAAATCTACTTCCATACCTGATGATGTCTGTAGGAACAGACGAAAGCTTGTAAAAAATTAAAAAGACATTATGCAACTGGAATTTATAAACGGGGATTATATTATTCATATACAGGTTCGGGGTTAGTGTATCGTATTGAAATTGTTTGCAAAGATGTATTCTCGCCATTTAAATCATTAACCTCTATATTTGTTTTTTGTATGAATGATTCATGTAATTATATATATATATATATATATATATATATATATATATATATATATATATATATATAAAGGTTTCTTTGAATTATGAAATTAATCTTAACGTCATAAATATACAAAAATAATCCCTACAAGTATATATTAATATCAATATCTTTCTTATAATTATATGAAGATTACGCCCACATCGCGTTGAAGCATCAGCTCCTATACGATTACCAAAGTTAAACAACGTTGGTCTTGTCAGTACCTAGATGGGTGACAGCTTGGGAATACCATATGCTGTAAGTTTGGATATGCAATGGATAATGACACATGATTGTTAATTGGAGAACCGAGTTCCAATTCCAGTTGGATTCGTTATATTCACTTATGCGCAAATACTCTTGGGAAAGGCATAAAACCACCCCTTCCTCCACCTCAGTTATGATTTAATTAGTACAACTTGTATTACCAGACCATTATTATCTATAAACTAAAATTGCGTAACAAATAGATTTCGATATTGAATAACCCATAGAGGAGGTGACGTGCAGTGGTCTGATGTTTGATGATGGCCAACATCTCGATTGTATGCCCCTAAGACTCAAGTAGAAGGTGGGGGCTATAGGGCCTAGTACTGAGATATATGAGAAAAAAAGTGTTGTGGATTCTGACATGAAATTTGGTCTCCAATGAATGACAAACGCAAGAATTAAATATAAGAAATTAAATGTATTTACACAATAATAAATGAGTAATACTGTTAGTAAATCCAGGAACGCGGTTAGTCGCAATAATATATATATATATATATATATATATATATATATATATATATATATATATATATACTGTATCGAAGTAGGACTTCCTTAGAGTCTACGTGCTTGTAACTGTGACTTCTACAAGCGGTTACCTCACACTATTACTCTACCTCCAACTCAATCACAATCTCTGCTCACTCTCTCTCTATTCTGACTGACTGGGTATTTAATGGCAGCAGTCCAAGTAACACTCTGGTCGAGTCCACTTATATGAAAAAGGGGAGGACCCCATAACAGGAAGACATTTTAAATATGTAAAAACATATGAAACAGGAAATAAACACTTTAGTCAAATTAAATATAAACTAAATTTTTATTTCACTCTTTGATTGGATGCCCTCTCGATATGGATGCCCGGGTCTGTTGCCCCCCCCCCACTCTGTCCCCCCTTCTGCATGCTACTGCATAGATGTTAATATCAACCAACCAACACAAGAATCATGGGAATAAAATTTTGGAATGCAACAAACCCATGAAGTACGTAACGCTTTCTACACTTACCCAAATGTCATTAACTTGATTGTCACACGTTTCCTTACACCCTACGGATCCATTATTGATTCACTTAGCACCGGAAAACTATCATTGATGTTTACTGACAACTATGCCGAAACACAATCCTTTCCACAAGCAAATAATTTTTAAATATGCATGTAGAGTAACAAAAAGCTGCAAAGCAAAATAAATTTCGAGATATTTTTAGAAATTAACATTAATGACTTTTTTAGTTAAATGCTCATAAACCTATACATTATATTGTTAATGATTTATCATATGCATAAATAGCCGTATGTTTTATTAGTAATTATTTAATTAGAATCTGTCGATATATTAGATAAAAATTCGAGATGGATAATATAATAAATAAATAAATAAAAACTGTTTTCGTTAGCAGAGGTACTGTTCGTGTTTCAATATTGGGTGCTGTAAGCTTGAATGTGCAGGTGGTACAATGGATAATGGTACGGAATTGTTAATCGGAGAGCCAATTTCCAATTTCACTTGGATTCACTTAAGCGCAAATGTCTTTGGGAAAGATATGAATCTAACTGTACTTTCCCCAGCTATGGGTTAATTAGCAAGACTTGTATCATTAAATAATTATTATCTCCAAAAAATTCTTACAATCTAAAAATATTTTCTTGCTTTAAATAACCTGTAAAGGGTTGATAAGCCGTAGAAAATGAATCAATCAATAATATGTTCATGTTTCAAGACCTTTAGTGTCCCGTTTGTTTTCTTGACATTAAAGTGTATAAATTCAAAATGGCGGAGAAAGCAACAAGAAATTACCCCTTCATCTTTCCTAGGAATTCCTATCAATTCAGAGACAATAAAGAAAAGGAATCTGCATAGAGACATGATAGCTTACCTCCTGAATGGGCATGGTATTAAAAACGTCACAAATTTATAATAATTGGCAATGTTTCATTTTTGACATTCGAATATTGCTACATTTAATATCATTTCTGTTAAAAAAAAAAAAAAGAATTATTTTTTATAACGTTCAAGTAATTAAGAAATGACTTTGACCGTTTAGCTTTCGTAGCCTATTGGTTACGGCAGTTCCCATAGAAAGTGAGCCCTTGTAGATAGCGACATTAAGATTATTCGCTTTTTATTAATGATCTGAGAGTGTGATAAAAAGAAAAAAGAAATAAGATATATTCGTGAAAAAAAATCAATATTAATTGACATCTAAAAAATTCCAGTATGATTAAAAATTGTATTTTTTTCTATTCCTAAATCGTATATATTGAGATATTTTGTATTAACTCGTATACACCGAAAAAACGAACGCTTACGGCCATTTCACGTTGAAACAACATTTCTCGTACAATCATCGAAGTTAAGCAACGGCTAACCTTGTCAGTACATAGATGGCTGACCAGTTCGGAATGTCAGGTACTGTAAGTTTGGATGCGTAAGTGGTATGAGTTTACGGCCATATCACATTGAAATAGTGTTTGTAGTACGAGCACCGAATTTAAGCAACATCGAGACTTGTCAGTACCTTGATGGGTGACCGCTTGGGGATACCAGGTGCTACAAGCTTGGGTGTACGGGTGGTATAATGGACTTATGGTCATATTAAATTAGAACACGAGTTCCCGTAGGATAACCAAAGTTAAGCAAGGTTGAGCCTTGTCAGTACCTAGATGGGTGACTACTTGGGAATACTAGCTGTTGTAAGATTGGATGCGCGGACGGTATAATGGGCTTACGGCCATGTCACGTTGAAATACCGTTGGTCGTACAATCACCGAAGTCAAGCAACGTCGAGCTTGGTCAATACCTAAATGGGTGACTGCTTTAGAATATCAGGTGTTGTAAGCTTGGAAGTGTGAGTGGTATACTGGGATGACGACCATATCATGTTGAAACACCGATTCCCGTACGATCACTGAAGTTATGCAAGGTCGAGTTTGGTCAATAGATAGATGGTCACCACTTGGGAATACTACGTGCTGTAAGCTTGGATATGCGGCTCGGTATTGAAAATCGGAGAACCGTGTTCCAATTCCAGTCGGGTTCGTTATTTTCACTTACACGCAAATAACATTGAGAAAGGCATGAATCCGCTTTTCCCCTCCAGTTATGGGTTAATTAATAGGGTTGGTACATCATTATTATCTCCGAAAAATTCTTATAGGATAAAAAATATTTTTGGCTGTAAATAACCTGAAAAAGTAGATAAGCTGTAAAAACAAAAGCCGTTTACGTATAAACTGGCATAATATGAACGACATCTCAGACTTACATAGACGATTCATATTTAATAAATGTCAAATAAAGCAATATTGATTGAATGATTGGTTATTTTTACGGCTTATCAACCTTTTGCAGGTTATTTAAAGCTAGACAAAATCTTTACATTGTAAGAATTTCTTGGGGATAATAATAATTTACTGATACAAATCCTACTAATTAATCCATAGCTGGGGGAGAAGAATTGGGTCCATACTTTTCCCAGGAATATTTGCTCGTAAGTAAATATACCGAACCCAACTGGAATTGGAACACGGCTCTCCAATTTTCAATTTTGAGTTGTTTATCCATTACACCATACGCAAATCCAAGGTTACGGTACCTGGTATTCTCAAGCGATCGTACGGGAACCGGTGTTTTATGGCCGTCAGCCCAAGGTTTAGGAGAAATGACAAAAAGACAACATTTATTAAGAGTTATAAAGAACGGGAAATTGGGGAAATCCAACGTCCTGAAACGACACGGTACATAGAAGAAGAAGATGTAGCCATTGCGAAGCACATACTATGCCACTAACAAAAGGATCGTGGAATTCCCAATGAGTCGAAGATCCCGACTGATGAATGGATTGATACACCATATTTGATATGTTCGTTTCGCTGATCATTTCTCGATCCTAGTTGACGTCACGCCGTTACGTTGTGTCATAATTAATAATAATGGATTATTTGATGATTAAATATTAAATTGGAATCCCAAGATAGTCTTGGTCGTAAGCCTGTGTATAAGTAATAACTAACTTAAATAATAATCCAACATTATCTGTTGTTATTGGAACTTTGGGAATGATATCAAAACGAGTAAACAACTCTATGGAACAAATTTCCAATAGTCCTAGAATATATGAATTGCAAAAAATAATACTCATGGTTATTTCTCATACCTTGCGTAGATTACTATCCATGCAGTGGCCACAATTATATGTTTTATTTCACCTCTGATTGCATGGTACCTCATATGTTGTCACAAAAAAAAATTCTGGTTGAGACTTAGGACTAACTCGTACTACACAAAAAAGCAAAACAAATAATAATAATAATCTCGAAAATGTGGCATATGGGAACATCAACAATCCCTGTTGTAGTTGGAGCCGTAGGACTGGTTGGAAAAAGATTGCAGTAGACTAATTGAAGGGATTCCTGGAAGTCCATGCCTCAAGGAGATACAAAAAATTGTTCTGAAAAGTACAGCCCACACTTTACGAAGGGCTTTATAAATTTTTTTTTTTTTTTTTTGTCAGTGGAAAAGTGTCATGATGCCATTTTTCTAACTTTAGGTCCCTGGGTGGGAACCGGAAAGAAATGTAAAACGCCAGAAATCAAAGAAAGTAATAATAATAATAATAATAATGTGGAATTTGAAAACAAGAATAGTACCAGTCATAGTAGAAGCGGTTGGAATGATAAAAAAGGAACATAATAACACATTGAAAAAAATCCCTGGAAATCCCAGCTTAAGAGCAATACAAAAATTATGTCTTGATAAGTACAGTCCACACACTAAGAATAACTTGGTCCATGTAACGCTACTGATGTTATGGGAGTTATAAAATAAATAAATCATGAAATGTATCCATAACAACACACCACGACCTACCTTAATTCTTCCTGTAGACTTGGTAGGTAGTGACCATAGCAGAAATCGAAATATAATGACGATGATGGCAATAATAATAATAATATCAGATCATAGACTACAGTGATGTATATCCAGAAACAATGGACCATTTTGTATCAGATTGCGTGGTATTAGCATCCACCTATTATAAAACACGGCATAACAGCGTGGTCTAATATATTCAATGGACATTTTGCAAATCTAATGGGAAGAAATCTACAAGAAACTGGTATGAACATCAGCCAGACGCAGTTACAAAGACAGGACCTGTAATAATTTTATGAGACATTACAATACACAGAGACAAAACAAACAAAGCTAATCGCCTAGACATCGTGATCAAAGACCACAAAAACAGAATGGGCTTTCTTATTGACATGGCAGTTCCTGCAGAGTAGAATGTATCTTTGAAGATCTTTAAAAAATCTATCAAAATACAAGGATCTTGGAGTGGAAATCTAAAAAAAAATGTGGTATATAGATATCAATAATTCCAATTGTGGTAGGGGTCCTTGACTTGATCGGGGAAAAGCTCTGATAGACTCATTGAAGGGATCCCTGTTAGCATATGTCTTATGAAATACAAAAATTGTTCTTATAAATACGGCCCACACCTTATGGGGGGCTTTATCTCTGTGTTTTTTTTTTGGGGGTGGGGGGTAATTTACACTAATGTACAATTAAAAATGTTATGATGCCTTTTCTGACCTTAGGTCTCTAGAACGGAAAAGTATACAACAGAAATCAAAGGAAATAATAATAATAATAATAATAATAATAATAATAATAATAATAATAATACGGAAACGAAACTGCAAGAAATTGGTATGAACACCACCCAGACACGGTTACGGAGATAGGATCTGCAACAATTTTATGGGACTTTACAATGCACACAAACAGAAGAATCAAAGCTAATCGCCCTGATAACGTGATTAGAGACCACAAAGACAAAATGTGCCTCCTTATTGACATGGCAATCTCTGCAGACTGCAAGGGATCTTTAGAGATAGTCAAAAATACAAAATACAAGGACCTTGAAATCGAAATCTCAAAAATGTGGCACATGAGGACATTAACAATTCCAGCTGTAGTTGGAGCCCTCGTATCGATTGGAAAAGATTCTAATAGAATCATTGAAAAAATCCCTGGTAGCCCATACCTTAGGAGATACAAAAAATACAGCCTACACCTTACGAAGGGTTTGTCTATGTAAAATATGTGCGATTTTTTTTTCAAAACTGCTCAGTGAAAAATGTCATGATACCATTTCTGACATTAAGTCTCTGGTAACAAATGAGTATACACCAGAAACCAAAGGGAATAAAACACCAGAAACCAAAGGGAATAAAACACCAGAAACCAAAGGGAATAAAACAATAATAATAATAATAGATCATAGACTACATGGTAAACACAAAAGAGTCTAAAAATAGACTATTAAACTCAAGAAACTCTGGAACATGGCGTTATGCTGTGATGACTGGAGCATTTGAAAGCTTCCCCTAAATCTTAAGGAACAAATTGAAGAAAATTTGAGCTAGTAAGATTAGAGCTGAAGAATGGAGGAAACTTCTAATCAAGGCAGCGTTGCGGTTAGAAAGAATAGAGAGGAAGGCATAGAATATATTAAGAAACTTGTTGCCACTTTTTTCCCCCAGCAATAACTACCAAACATCATCTGTGATGTTACAAATGCATGAATTATAATTAAAAACAACCAAGACCTTCCTTAGGAATAGGAAAAAGTATAGAATATGAAAAGGTAGTACCGATAATCATCGAAGTAACTGGAACGATGCAAAATAAATAAATAAATACACACGAACAAAGTTTCGATGATTTGAATTTTCGAGCAAGAAGTTTTTTTTTTCGGCAGCGGTGTTGGGGTCTGCGTGGATACTAAGAAAGGTGCCAGAGATTTAATTCGACTTACTGTCATTCAGTTTCCAACAATAACCATCAAATATATAATGCGAACATAAAAAATACGATGATAATAATAATAATAATAATAATAATAATAATAATAATAATAATAATAATAATCCAGCTATGGGTTAAATACCAGTGTAGCCTTGGTGACAACTAATCTAAGAGAAAGAAAATTGAATTCTAATCCGTTGTGAAGACAAGAGGAAACTACTTCACTATATTTCCCAAGAATGCACAGCTATTCACATATAATAAAAAAAAGGAATCTGTGAAGAACCATGAACGCCTACGTTCTCATGGGACATGGCATTTTTTTAAATGGGTTAATACCAGGGTAAAATGGTTTCTTTAGTCTTGAGCGGCAACCAGTGGAAGAAAAGGAAAATTCTGAACGCCAAAACGTGGAAAAGGCAATGAGACACCACTGCACTTTTTTTCAAAGATATGATAATTCACGGATAATAAAGGGAATGAATCTGTAGAGAACCATGATTGCCTATGTCCCGAAGAGGTTAATAATAATAATAACAATAATAATAATAATAATAATAATAGTTCTATAGGAATTTGATCTCCCAACCCAGGTCAGTAAAACAGATTCAAAACTGTAAATAAGGAATCAATGACTTGTTAGATTGTAGACAGAAATTGAAACCCTACACAAAGATTTGCCAAAGATCTGAACAAACCTAACAGCAGTACCCATCATTTTTGGAGTACTTGGAACAGTCCAAAATAGCTTTGTAAAGAAGTAGAAATTCATAGAATTGAAATTGAGAAGAAAATTAGTAAAATCATGAAAAATGAGGCGAGTGTAGAAGGATTAGAGACTTTTTGTCACTTGCTCTCCATTGAAATACACTATTAGATATTACAGTCGCGAATATTCACATCATAATTACAACAAGGAATATAAAAAGGAAATAAAAAATGATCGTATATTTACCTGCGAAAACTTGCAAAAGTATGAACAGGAGGCTTTTATTTACCATCATCGTTTGCTACTTTGGCTGGAAAAGTTTACGGAAGTTAACGATCGATTCTGGTGCAGTTGAAACCAGTTTGCAGAGTCCACCAGCGGCTCGTCT